TCCTGTTTTGATGGTGTCCCGGTCATGTTTTGATGGTGTCCCGGTCATGTTGTGATGGTGTCCCGGTCATGTTTTGATGGTGTCCCGGTCGTGTTGTGACGGTGTCCCGGTCATGTTTTGATGGTGTCCCGGTCCTGTTGTGATGGTGTCCTGGTCATGTTTTGGCGGTGTGCCGGTTATGTTTTGACGGTGTCCGGGTCATGTGACGGTGTCCCGGTCATGTTGTGATGGTGTCCTGGTCATCTTGTGATGGTTTTCCCGTCATGTCATGTTGGTGTCCCGGTCACCTTGTGATGGTGTCCCGGTCATGTTGTGATTGTGTCCCAGTCGTGTTGTGACGGTGTCCCAGTCATGTTGTGATGGTGTCTCGCTCATGTTGTGACGGTGTCCCGGTCATGTTGTGACGGTGTCCCGGTCATGTTGTGATGGTGTCCTGGTCATGTTTTGGCGGTGTGCCGGTTATGTTTTGATGGTGTTCGGGTCATGTGACGGTGTCCCGGTCATGTTGTGATAGTGTCCCGGTCATGTTGTGATGGTGTCCCCGTCATGTCTTTGATGGTGCCCTGGTCATTTTGTGATGGTGTCCCGGTTATGTGATGATGGTGTCCAAGGAAGAGATGGTCGATGTGTTGAAAACAGCAGCTGTTTCCAGATTTTTCTTTTTGTCCCGGTTTGTATCTTGCTATTGGGGTCTCCAGCTGGGCTAATTTGTTTCCCACTTCTTTTCACTTGTCTCCCAGTTCTTTTCATTTGTCTCCCAGGCTGGGCGCTTCTGGTCGGGTTCCCGGCTGTCTTGTCTCCCACTTCCTTTTATTTGTCTCCTCTTCTTCCCAGCTCTGGACTGCTGTGTCCGCCTCTGCCTTGCAATCCTTTACTGGGCTGCTGTTGCTGTGTCCGCCTCTGCCTTGCAATCCTTTACATGTGTCCTCGCAAGCCTTTGCATTTGTCTCCATCTCGCTTGCACATTTGTCTCCCTGTGTCTACATTTGTCTCCCAGCTCTGGACTGCTGTGGCCGCCTCTGCCTTGCAATCCTTTGTCTCCCAGCTCTGGACGTCGCAGGCTGCAGAGTGTTCCGATTCGAAAAACACAAACTGTTTGGGGTCTACGGTGGTGTAATTTTGAAGTGATTCACAACATCGTTCCTGGTGAGCCAGAAGGGAAAGTGTGGCTTCTGGTGTACGACCTCAAAGCATTAATGCAGCAGCCTGGCGTCTGTACTATACCATGATTTCTTTCACAGTGCGCGTGACTGAACCAAGGGGCCCTTGATTGCTTGTGGGATCCTGTTGCCGTCTAAGGTACTGCAGGAAGTTATGGCGGAAGCCACGGTCTCAGGGGAAAAGCAGCGAGGAGCAATGGCCAGTGTGGGTTCGGACGCAGTCAGAAGTTTTGACCTTGTTTACAACGATGGAGCCATTTGACGCTGACATTGATGACCGGGACATTGCAAAAAGCTGGGGCATTGAAGAGCTTCAACTGCACACTGCACACTGATTTGGTTATCTGTCACTTGTTTGTGTTTTTTGTTTTCCAAAGTGTTTGCTTGTCCTATTATTGCGTTCGATCTATATGTTTTGCGTTACCCAGGAAGAGGAAGAGAACACCAAGCCAGATGCAAGCGAACCAGAGATCGAGGTGAGGGGGGGTTTTGGCTTTGATCAGAATCATTATAGATCACTGATCATTTGCACCTTGCCAGGACGGCGTGCGTGACTCACGAAAGAAAGTCTTGGCTGACTTGCAAGGCAAGGTCGTTGAGATTCTGGATGACGAGCAGCCAGGACCGACTGGGGTGCAAATTTGGAGAGGTTCATTTGGTCTAGTGCTGCGCAGGACCTCGATCTATGGACATTGAGAGCGAAGAGCAGGCCAAGGAGCCAGCGGTGCCTTGACTGCTGAAGAAAGAGGGAGAGAGATGGACGAAGAAACATAGAGACAAAGACAGACAGATAAATAAAGAGTTTTTGCAATAGAAAGTCCAACCATTTTAGGTGGGACCTCGACCTCCAAAAACACTGGCTGTGGCGAAGGCAATGCTCACTCCGGAGCCCTCGTACGTTCAGGACATGGAAGTGATGTTTCTATTTTGTAGTTTTCTCAACGTTTCCCATGCAGGATGTGGCAGCAATTATTGAGCAGGAGGAGATGCCCCCAGCAGACCCTGCAAGCGCTAGTCTCAGACTAGTCAACGCTTTCTTCGTCAGGGATTTGTCTCAGCTTCACGCGTTTGAACGCAAATGTTCCGCTCAGACTTGACCATATAGAAAAAAACACTCCCCAAGTCCCCCATGACCTCTCTGAATCATGATAAGCTATTCACGAAGGACTTACGGGTGCCTTTTCATGGCCAAGGCTGAGCAGAAAATTGCCATGTTTGAAAGCTTTTGTTTTTAATTGCAGTATTGTTTCAACATACCACTGCACGGCTCAAGCTCCACTCACGTCAGGCCAGAGACGCTTGAAGGCGGAGTTGAGGCCGGCACAGGCTAAGGCGAAGGGGAAAGCGAAAGCTAAAGAGAAGGTGTCCGGAAAAGGGGATGGTGAAAAGAAAGCCGCGTACACTATCAAGAAACACAAGCGTAAGTCCAAGACTGGTACCATTTTGGCTTGCGCCATCGTTCATGAAGGAAAACAAAAGGTCCAGCTTTGCTCCACGGCCACTGACTTCGACATGGGTGAATGCGAGAGGATTGTCACTGAATTGACGGAGGATCTCAACAATGGTTCCAAGACCCTGGAAGCTGTTGTGCAGCGATTGGGTGAGATCAAGTCTGCGGCATGGCCGTAGAGACTGCCCAAGCCGATCTAGGAACTCGAGCTCGGGTGTTGGAGAAAAAAACAAGGTCCGCTGCCTCTTATTGTGTCTGTACAGCCTTTCCTCTGAAAGCTTTACACTAAAGCAAGTGCAAGGCCACCGCTGGCCCTGATTTGCAGGACGCGCAGCCGCGTCTATCTCACGGCCCTCGAGTTCGACTATCGAAGAGTGCGCAACGCCACCACTGCTGCTCGTGTTTGAATCAACGATAGTTTGCGCGCAGTCTTGAGTCTTAAGAGTCTTAAGTTTGCTGCTGGCAGATTTCTGCTCTGTGACCAATGCATTGACTGTTGGTGGTGAAAGGTTTATAGTGTGTATGACTAGACCACAAACATAACAAGACCACAGCATGGGTGTATCGACGAGACCATTGTCACACTGGTTGTATTGAGCTATATCTGCTTTGCATTTTGCCTCCAGCCATGGCAATGATTGATGTGGCTGTGCTGATGGCCATTCTGAACACCTTATCATTCCAAGAATTGCAGGAGATCTACGGTTTCACAGGATTGCAGCTGCCATGGGTACTTATAGAGCTCGTGATGCATGCCATGTGTATCCGGAGAATGTGCGTGCCAGAGATGGACTTTCCACAGGACCTGCAGTGCATCGAATTCTTTGCAGGGAGTTCAAAGTCTTCTCAAATTGCCAAAGCGTTTCTGGAGATGGGTTGCCAGGCATTGGCCTTTGACATTTTGCGAGCCCCAGCTTAATTTATATCCCTAAATTACACGTTTGAAAGCCTTTGTCTTGGAGTCCACTTTGGTTGTCATCCATTTTACGCGTAGTTTGCATCCATCTGCATTGAACCTTTTTCTTTGCTGCCCAAGGAAGTGGATCTCATGACCTTTCATTAACCAGTGGACTGGTCGCTGCAGTTCTTGCAGTTCTATGTGCTTCGTCTGGTGCTCTGATTCACCTTGCAACAGTGTGCACTTCCTTTACTTTCATCAATGCAGGAACGCATGGCAGGTCAATATCCTGCCCACTTGGAAAGGACCATTTGCATTACGTTGCCTCGGGAAGCCTATTGGCGCGCAGATCGTCGCTGTTGGCATTGCAGGCATGGGGGCGAGGCTGTTGCTTTGTTTTGGAGCAACCGCTCAGAAGTGTGATGACAGCTCTGCCGTCGTGGCAGAGCGTCATTGGGTTCTTAGAGGAATCTGGGACGCCGCTCAAGCTCAACAGTGTTTCCATGGCGGCTTTCAGAGCACCTACGTTGAAGCCTACCGCGCTTTACTCCACAGAAGAGTTTCAGATTTTGATGGACACGCATGTTCCACCCAAAGACCAAACGCCTCCTTTGGAAGCTGATGCTTGGCAAGTGTGACCTGGCCAGCAAAGTGTGTTAGATTCTTTTGGTTTCATGGGTCTGCGCACATGAAAATTGCGCAAGCTGCGTCCCAAGAGGTTGGATGCTGCAAGATTTCATTCTTGTGGATCTTAGTTTTTATTGGACTGCTCACTAGGTACACAGATTCTCATGGCCAAAAGAGAGTGGCGGGAAGGTCTGGATTGAAAAGCACCGAATTGTACACTCCGGAGTTTGGCCGCGCTCTGGCTATGTGGTGGTCTTCTCATGGATCAGCGATGGCAACCTACGGGACTGCAGTGCTTGAGTGCCAAGGGAGATCAAAAGGACACAATAATTGACACAGACGTCTGTATCAATTTTTGTGTCCATGACCTCTCTTGGTGGTTGTTTGCGCGATGGAGCAGTCATGTGGGTTGAGTGTTGGATTTGTTTCTTTTCTCTGACCTTAAACCGAAGGAGAGAGAAAAGACGATGGTGCATGCTCCAGTCTGCCAATCTCACTAGTGAGCAGATCAAGGACCATTTTGGCTTTTGGAGTTCAATTGAGTGAGGTCAAAGAGTTTCATGCGCACCTGCATCGTGCTTGCCTCGCAGGCCGACATCACGGCGTATAGTCAGCTTGAGCGTTCACATTTCTTGGAGGGGAAAGTTCTGGATGCTCTGACCGAACTGCGGCAGCCTTGGACCTTGAGCTGATGTCAGCTTAAGATTAGATGCCAATTCAATTTAGCTTGCCAATTGATGCCATTTGTACATGCCAGTGGTTGCAAGAAGGGGTCAAAAGAGCATTGCTTATGGATTCTATCTTTGCTTCGAGTTTTGTTGTTAACTGGAGCTGTTCTTGCCTTCCGTTTGCACATTTTCAGACCTCGGCATCACGGGTGGTCGCGGTTGGTCACCGTGACAGGGCGTGACCAGACCGTGACCAGCCGTGACCGAAAGAAACGCCAAAAGGTAAAGTCCTCAGAGCCCCCCGTGACCGACCGTGACCACGCGTGACCTGCCGGCTGCACTCCATGGACAGATTCAGCCCAATCAGAGCGTTGGCCTTCCGAAGCCTTTTTGTTCAATTCCCGTGGCGTTTACTTTTAGGTTTGCTTGGACGGCTTGGAGATGAGTACTGTCAAGGTAGCGTCGATGGCTCCTGCTGGAGTGTCACAATGTTTGGAAGACCCCTACTTGTTTGGAGTGGTGCGAGACGCCCAAGAAGCGTTTGCTGCAGGAACCCCAGGCAGGTATGATGCGCATGCTGTCAATGGCTCATAGTGTTGATTGGCCAATTCTCCTTGGCTGGAGGTCCTGCTTTGCCTCGGACTTCTTCGATGGCTCCTGAAGTTCATATGGATCTTCCAGGGTCTGATGCTTAGAGCCATGCAAATAGTTGCGCGTGAACGACCGTACATGGCCGGCTTTCGAACCCATGGCGATCTGAGGCAGAGAGTGAACCTGTCAAGACCTTTGCAGCCAATGAACATGGGCGATACGTTCCAGACTGATGCTACTGCGGGCGATACGCAGGCCTGTGTGACTTGTTGCTGTCTCATGTTTCAATTCAATGCAGCTGCAATGAAAGTAGATCTCATGCTCAACAATCTTTGGTTTGTCTGACCTGCAAGGTGGAACCGACTATGTCTACGGTGGACAATTTTGAGGCTGAGGCTGAGGCGATCTTTGATTCGCAAGCTACTCAGGCAGGGCAGCCAGGAACGGTGCTTCCATTTTGTCCTCACCAGTACAACTCCGAAATTTGGGACACGGATTCATTGAAGGAGCGTGTGTCTCAACAGATGCAGCCTGAACCTCTAAAGCCAAAGCACCAGCAAATTCCCCTGTGTGCGAACCGGGCTGCTTTGATCACAGCTCTACAGCAGGCCACAGCAAATGGGCAAACACCTGAGGAGGCGATTGAGGCACTGAAAGCAGCTTTACAGATGCAACAGCAAGTCCAGGCAGCCCCGGCAGCCCCAGCGCCCACCCCAGAGCAAAAAGCTCTGCCCAG